ACCATTCACATTCCCAACCCCATCCCCGATTGCTTGGACAGTTGGATTTAAGTCAAAATCCTTCTGATTCTTTAACTGTACTTTCAGTTTCTTTTGCTCAGTCGTGGTGATAGGATATGCAAATTACATTATTTGTTATAACACAACTACATGTCAACAAGATTTCTATTCTATTTGGATAATTATTCTCTGCAAGACAGAATGTATGGTGCTGTAATGTTGTAGCAACAGATCCACGGTGTTCAGCTTTTATTCACTTCAAAAAAATCTACACTATACGTTGCATACAATTTTATTTTACATTCTTTCCCTGGTCCATCTAATAATTATGCTTGTGAGCCTAGATATTTTCCTTTTTAAGCAGAAGTGTATTAATGGACCCTCTGCACTGGAGATAAACATTGAAAAGGCTCTTTTGTAACATATACGTGTTTGAAAAAGTCAATGCCCATTTTTTATTGCTTGTCTAGCATCTTCTATGCTATCAAGGTTGATTGAAGCAATTGGGGACAATTGTTTCCATGGTACAGCATAATGCAGTCTGCATTCTTCTAAAAAAAATTCAGCCAATTTCTTCTGTTGAGTGCCGAACTTTGTGTCGGTGCATTCATGTGTTTCAGTACAAAAAATTTGTAGTCCTGGTTGAGAAATATACACAAAACAAAGTGATATTCAATTTCAACATATTAATACAGAAAAGAAAAGCATGAAATAGACAAACAGATTTATTTTTTTAAAAAAAAAAGGACAAGGAAACTCGGTTGAATCTAATTTGAGGAAGAACCATGGAACTCATCTAGATGACATGAAACTTCTGAATGAGGTTCTCTCTCATTTTCCATCCCCAAATCAGTATTTAGTTTTGCAAGTTCTAATGCAATTTCCGGTTGAGGTTCCCTTCCATTTTCCATCCCCAAATCGGAACTTACAAGTTCCAACAAAGAAATAGTTGAAATAGGCTTCAAAAGCTGTTTTTGGCAGGCAACAAATTGTTGAGACACATATTTCATTGTTGGTCTGGACTTGGGTTTTGCATGCAAGCAAGCCAATGCAAGCATGGCAGCAACAACAATACTTTGGATAACATTTCTGGTTCTTGGAGGCGATAGACGTGTGTCCAATACATCACTTAGCATCACATTTTGCAAAGAATATGGTTTTGATAACAATGTCAACAGTTCTCTAGGATGTCTTCCCATTAGTACTTCCAATGCTACAACCCCAAAGATATAAACATCACATTTCTCAGTCACAACCATTGTATAGGCAAGCTCTGCACAGGTAAATCACACATTTCACATGTCAATTTAATAGTAAATAGTGAAATAAGACAACAAAAGAAGAATGTTGTTATGTTGATAGAAAAAACCTGGGGCGATATAACCATAGGTGCCAGCAAGTGTGGTATGATTAGATGAATCAGGATCCAAAAGTCTAGCATTTCCAAAGTCAGAAACAAAAGCCTCTAACTTCGAGTTTAACAGAATGTTGTTGCTTGATATGTCTCGATGAAGGATAGGTGGGATACAGTCATGGTGAAGGTAGCACAAAGCATGTGCTGTGTTTTTTATGACATTCACCCTTTTCATCCAGTCCAATTCCACAGCTTCAGCATCATATCTAAGAACACAAAACAAGCTTCCTTTTTCCATGTATTCATAGATCAAAAACATGCATTGTCTATGCAGACAGAACCCATGAAGCTTGACAATATTCTTATGTCGTATTTCTGTCAACATCTTAGCTTCATTCCTAAAACTCCTGTCAAAAGTGGGTACCTCTGATTCCCTCCGATGAAGTTTTTTTAAGGCAACTACTTTGCCATTTGGCAATTGTGCCTTGTAAACACTACCATAGCCACCAGTACCAATGCAATATCGAATGTCGAAATCTTCAGTTGCTGCAATAATGTCATCAAATGCAACCCTCCCATCAAAGTTCCATATCGAGAACATATCCCCATTTTTCGTTGGACTTAGAATTGCTTCCTTACTTTTTGCTCCATTTATTCTTCGAGAAAGTAACAACAATGCCAGAGATACCAACACAAGAGAAATGGTGCTAAGAAGAATAATTTTAATATGTCTCATCACTTTGTTGGAATTTTTTCTATGTTGAGTGAAAGGAGAAGGCCAAGTAGTGGCCCTGCTAACAGGATAACCATATAAACCTGGGTTTGCTATAAAAGAGTTGTTTGGAAAATGAGCCAAAGTTTCTGGGATTGGGCCTGTGAGATCATTGCAACTAAGATTCAAGCCATCTCGATTCAAGTTTAGTAAATCCCCAAGTTGTGAAGGTATTGCCCCTTTCAAATGATTTGAATCAAGATACAGGTTGATCAAATTGGTTAAATCACCTAGAGTGGAAGGAATAGGACCAATGAAATTGTTAGCACTAAGATCTAAAATATATAGATTCTTCATGTTTCCTATTTCAGATGGGAGGTCTCCACCCAAGGAATTGTCGCTCAAATGCAGTTCTTTTAAAAGGGAGCAATTCTCAAGCTGTGTTGGGAGGTGTCCACACAATTTATTTCGAGAAAGGTCCAAATACTGCAAAGATTTCAAATGCCCAATCTCTTTGGGTATTGAACCTTCTAAAAGATTTGAATCAAGACACAATGTTCGCAGATTGGGTAAATGAAATATGGTGAAAGGAATTGAACCAGTGAAATTGTTAGTACTAAGATTCAACGAAGATAGACTAGTCATATTTCCCATTTCAGAAGGAATGAAACCTTGTAAATTATTTGAACCAAGATTCAAATCGTACAAATTAGACAAATGAGATAGAGATGAAGGGACATGACCAGTTATTTTGTTTTTACTAAGATCCAAATCCCACAAATTATATAGACTTCCTAAAGTTTGAGGGATAGAACCATCCAAGTTGTTTGAACTAAGATTCAAAACTAACAAATTGGACAAGAGACCCAGAGATGGAGGGATTTGACCTATTAAATTGTTTTCATAAAGATTCAAAATTGACAAATTGGACAAGAGACCCAGAGACGGAGGGATTTGACCTATTTAACTATTTTCATAAAGATACAAACTCTGTAAATTGGACAAACGAGACAGAGATGAAGGGATACGACCACTTATTTTGTTAATACTAAGATCCAATACCTGCAAATTATATAGACATCCTAGATTTTGAGGGATAGAACCATTCAAGTTATTTGAATAAAGGCTCAAAATTGACAAATTGGACAAACGAGACAAAGAGGAAGGGATTTGACCTGTTAATTTATTTTCACCAAGATTCAGAAGTTCCAAATTACTTAGATTTCCTATGTTTGGCGAGATGGAGCCCTCAAAAGAATTTGTTCTAAGGTTCAGGATCCTCAAATTGGACAAGAGACTCAAAGATGGTGGGATTGTGCCCTCTAAACTGTTTTGCAAAAGATACAAACAAATCAAGTTCTTAAGGTTTGTCAATTCCGAAGGGATGGAGCCATTGATTTGATTCTCATAAAGAAACAAGTATCTCAAATTTGTCAATTGACCCAAAGTTGGAGGGAGCGAACCAACAAGTCCGCAGTAATTCATGCGGAGATCAGTGAGATTCATCAATTCCCCAAATTCTGGAGGGATGGAGCCACTAAACAAATTAAAACTGAGATCTAGAAATGTCAAACTGGTTAATTGTCCAAGAAGAGATGGTATTAGACCCACAAACAAGTTTTCAGATAGATCCAGAGAAACCAAGTTCTTTAAATTTCCCATTTCTGAAGGTATGGATCCATTGATTTGATTGTTTGCAAGAGACAAAGAAACCAGATTGGTTAAATGACTGATGTTGGAAGAGATTGGACCATTGAGGGAGCAAACGCTCATGTCTAAGGCTACAAGACTCTTCAAGTTCCATATTTCTGAAGGTATGGATCCATTGATTTGATTGTATGCAAGAGACAAAGAAACCAGATTGGTTAAATGACTGATGTTGGAAGAGATTGGACCATTGAGGGAGCAATCGCTCATGTCTAAGGCTACAAGACTCTTCAAGTTCCATATTTCTGGAGGGATTCTACAATTAAAAGGATTTCCGGCCAACTCCAAGTGGGAAAGATTAGTGGGAAGGCCTATAATTGGAGCAGTGGATGCATTGAGGTTGTTCCAAGTCAAGTTCAAAGAAACAAGATTCTTCAAACTCCTGAATTTTGGGGAGATGGAGTTTATGTAATTGAAAGATACGTCAAGCATCCGTAATTGAGTGAGATTTCCAAGTGAAGAAGGCAATGTACCTGTTAGATTGTTGTTGGACAGATTAAGGTGCTCGAGTCTTGTAAGATCACCAATTTGAGGTGGGATGCTCCCATAGAGTCCTTGATGGCTAAGATTAAGGCGAACAAGATTGGGGAAGGAAGAGAAGTTCATTTTTCCAAACTTCCCTCCCACACTAAAATCAGGTGGACTAATCTCGATAATGCTCCCAGCACCGTTGCATGTTATACCAGGCCAGCTACAATGGTCTACAACGTTGTTGATGGAGGCATTCCACCACCCACTCTTCCACAGAGCTGGTGCCTCTGTTGTCGCCCCGGCCACAAATGTGCTGCCAGTGCCAATACAAATTGTAGAGTAGAAAAATAAGGAAGCCCATGTTAATAACTCCATGGAAATGCGAATGTAAAATGCCATGTTAAGTTTGATTTTTCAAGTAGAGGTGTTTTGCTGGGTTTAGGAGCAAAGGTAGATATTTAAGGTGCTCGGTCCCATCAGGTTCAGATGACTGA